ATGCAGTTTATGGTTGAAAGATTATAGAAGTCAGTAGCTGAATGTTCAGATTTAATGATGGATTTGTAGAAGCGTCACTGTTGTTTACCCTTTGCTAAAGCCAACTCTTAACCTCTGACTGTACACAGGAAGCTTATCTTGTATGTGAATAGGCATGTTCTCTATAGTTAGCAATAAATCTAATTTTAAAATAGATATGTTAGTATGTCTAACAACCTCGACACATGTCTAAATCCAATATTATTGTTCAGGAGAGAGATTTATCACATTAAAGATTTCCACAGGTTTGAAATTGGTTCTGCTGGCTGCTGGTGCCACCCATGTCTCCAGCTGTCGTGCAGCAAAACCATTTCCGAGAAGCAGAAGTGACCAGTGGGTTTAGCTGCAGTACATGGTTTCAGTAACTGATTCAGAGACTTTGTGACTCCCAGTCAGTGTGTGCAGAGGATTCTTATGAAGTCTGTGATAGAGATGCAGTCTGTTATAGGGCATAGTATCCTTGCAAGCTATTTGGGTTGCTCCTGATAGGGTTAATGGGGAGTCATAGTCTGCCTTCAGGCACGCAAATCTGAAGCAGAATCTCACAATGCTTTCGACAGGATGTATGTCCATACATTTAAAGGAAGAATTCATCTTTGTATTTTCCTGGGCTTCAGCTCTGTCTTTGACTCAATAGGATCATGATGTGCAAGTGCTAGAGTTAAGAGTGTTGTATAGTTCTCATACTACCACTCTACTCAAAGGAGCTATCTGAAATTCTCACCTTGCTCTTTGTTTCTGTTGTGTCTGTAATCCTGTAATTACAGGTCAAGGCTGCTTCCTTCTAGGGCAGAGATAAATTTTTGTTGCTGCTTATTCCCCAAAGTTTTGTAGAGCCACTGCAGCTCCAAGAGGGAACTGGATTCTCTCTATCTCCACATATCAACAGCATTGTTTCCTGACTTTCAGTGTTGTTTTATTTTTTCATTGGTGACGTCAGAACTGTTTAAGTTGCTATTTTGAATTTAAAATCCCACTTGAACTTGTCAGAAGAGCAAAATCTTATGGGATTTTTGAAAAACTGTCCCCTCCATAGCACTGAAAAATAAGAACTATTAGCATTGTTGGGGTAGTATTTGTTATGGGTATTATTTTCCGCACCACTTTAAGTTTGGAAGTGTTATAAGAAAGTTCTTTATGGCATTCAACTTTGGCCTGTGAAAGGAGCAGTACCAATTTCCAGCTCTTATTTGAGTCATAGGACCTCCCCAAAGGTTTGGAGACAAGGATAGATTTTCTCAGAAATTATACTTTATTTGAATTATTTAGAATTATTGTCAGCATGCTTTACTTTCCCTGAAGTTAGTTGTAGTGCAGGGAAACCTGCACTGTAGCTATGCTTGTTTTGACACATGAAGTTTTCTTTAGGTCTACTTCTTCATGCTTTATTTAGTCAGTTTAGTGCTTCAGGGTTTGCTTTTGTGGTGTTTTTTTTTGTTTTGTTTTTTTTTGTTTGTTTTTGGTTTTTTTTTTTTTTGTGGGTTGGGATTTTTTTGGTGCTTCATACATTCAAAATTTAGATCATAAAAGAGGAAGCTGAAGAATGGTTTGCATTGTCAGGACTCATAAAATAAAATATCACAAGGTTTCTCTTTCTTTACCAGCAGATGAATAGATTAGTGTATGAGACAGTTCTGCAGTGTGTTTCATTTCATACAGCATTCTCTGAGAGCTGTTATTCTGTTATCATCTCTAATGACTGTAATGCATTGAGTCACTGTGTTGTTTTTTAAAAGCTTTCACTTTTTCATTGTTTGTTCTCAAGGTTACATTATGCAAAATGCAACGTTAGATTTTATGCACTAGTCCAGACTGTATAAAAATATTGTTAATCCTTTGATAAAAATTGAAATAGCTCTGCTCTGGAGAAGAGGCTTTGTGCCTGTTTCAAGTATTTCTAACTGCTATAATCAACTGCTATTTCTTCTTCTATCTGAACAGGTACAGGTCATGTGTCTTGACTTTATTCTAAGGTCTTAATTCTTGCACACTCTTACATTGGTAATTTGGTTTAGCTATTCACCATGAATTGCAAGCCACTAAGAATTATCAAAAGGTAGTTTTGTTGTTTAAATAATTTTGAAGATGAAAGAGAACTTTTTCTACCTTGCAATAAAGTCAGGGTAAAAATATGAAGGAGGTATGAAGAGAGGAAAGGAGAGACTTATTTCAATGGATTTGCATTATGGATGAGAGTGAACAAGTGAGTTGAATTAAATACATTATTCAAAACTGCTGTTTTGGCTTGATTAAAACTCTGTTCTACCAATAGTTTTTATTACTGTGCCACGTCTTTACTTTCTGATGAGGTAAGGCATTGTGTCTTTTAATGATTTGACCATGTTCCTCACAGAGCTTTTATCCTAGCTAGCTGCAGCCTTTGGCCCCTCTTGTGATATTTGTTGCACCCAAAAATCCTACTGAAGATATTGTGAGTGCTCAGCTCCCCCGTCAGCATGAACAGACACCGCTGAGGATAGCACAGGTGTGGCTTTGTCTGTGTTGAAGCCCTTGGTCTGGTAGACTCTGATAGGAAGAATCTGTTTAGTGCAGAGAAAAGTATGAGAAAACTTAGCAGTCAGCCACATTAGTATTTACCAGGATTCTCTTGTGCACTTAAACCTTGGCTGTAAATCCATGCTCCTGCCTTTTCCTCTGTGAACTGCCGAAATCCTTCTAAAACTCATGACTATAATGTACACACAGATATGGAAATACTGAAGGTATTAAACAAAACAAACCAACAAAACTCCCCACCAGAAAAAGCAACCAAACAAAAAAAATGAGCTGTAATTTTTTTCTGGTCTCACTCTACCTTTGCTGAACTTATTCCCAAAATAATCAATCTTACATAGGTGCTGGAACAGGGGAATTTCTTTGATTTTCCTCCAAATTTTAAAATAAGAAACCAAGTATGAACTGCCCAGAGTTTTTTTTTTTAAACAATATATGCTGCTGCTTGCTCCATTTACTTTTGCTATCAACAGACATATATTCCTTAGCAGTCTGGTTTTGTTAAAAGCTGGAAGACTTCCATGGAGAGGAGCTGAAGGATTCTTTTCCTTTGCTTTTGTCCATTCCATGAAACCTTCTTTTGAAGCATCTGTGGTGACCCACACTGATTGAAAGCAATATCTTTTCAAAAGCAATTTTGAAGGTTCCTTCAAAAAAAGGTGTTCCTTCTCTCTGAGAGCCCAATACATATGAATGGTCAAAATATAAGATTAAGACATCTTGTCTAGATTGACAAGAAAGAGGTAGGATTTACTAAGTGTTTCTAGGAATAACTTGCCCCTACTTCTGCTCTCTTTTCATTGAAGAAATTTGTAGGGATTTTGTTGGAAATGGCAGTGAAGCATTGTTAGATAGTACAGCAAGGATACTAATGAAAAGATTGTATAGCTTTGGTGTTTAAGTGCCTTGTGGAAAGGATTTCTGGAGTCAGTTCAGAGTGAATTTTGAGCCTCTCTCAGGCAATTGTAGTTTTCTGCACCTAACAAACTCATATTGGGTATTTAAGGAGAAAGAATGAGGTCCATCACAAATGAAAGACTTGACAGATCAAAGCATGTAAATGAAGATTTTTAAATGGTTATTTACAGTCTAAATGTCTATTATGAAAGGCCATTAACTCTTATGGGGGACAGGATTTTGAGAAGGAAACTGTTGTTCACCCAGTCTCTCATTAATACCCTGGGAGGATGTAGCTTCTGCTCCTGCCGGGTGGTGCCGTGTCTGTATTGCTGTGAGCACTCCATCTGTCCACGTGGGTCCCGTTTTGGAGGCACACCCACATCATGGCTTTTATGATTTGAGCTAAATCATTTGGTCAACTTTCAGCTCATAGAAAGCTTGTGCAGTTGGCTGCTGTGCAATGTTCTCGTTTTTCTCCTGGTGTGGAAGCAGATTCCCCAGATGCCGTTGGCCAGTCAGCTGTACTGAACACACAGGAGAAGATCCTTGCTTCTCTGAGGAGTCTGTGTAAACCCCCGGGCTTTAGCAGCTGGAGAGAAGGGCTCTGATCAGGTAGAGGGGGAGAAGAAAGGCTAGAAACCTCACAACTTATGCAGTGAATCCACACCTGGCCCTGTGGCGAGTACATGCAGGACACACTATTTTGACTGTTGGCAGATTCCAAACTGTAATGTTTTTTAATTACTATGGAGTTACATAGTGCGCTCTCAGGAAAAAAAAAAAAAAGATTAAAAATTTATTTTTATCTACACATTAAGAAGACTTGGTAGGAACACAGTTAATAAAATGCTGCTAAGAATCGTGCCTTGGTTCAGGGCTCAGGGTCATATTCCTCTGTGAAGTTTATCAGAAAAAAATTTATTGATGGTATAGGTGTTTCTCTCAGTATCTAAAAGGCACACTTGACACATGTTAATGTTAGTAGGTTTGGTGTTATCTGCAGTCACAAATATGGTCTAAATGTTTTGTGAAAAGGGTCCTGAAAATATTTGCTTTCTAACGTGAAGATAAAATAATACTTCATTTACAAAGCACTATTGAGCAAAAGAAAGGAGAATTAAATTTCCTGAAGGGATTAGGGTATTAACCCAGGATATGAAGTGTGTCTTTCTCTGTTCCTTTTTAGATTTCCTCTACTAACTTTCTTTGAGCCTTTCCTTTTTGGCTTGAAGTCCTTCGCTATAAAATGAAATAAATACAGCTATCCTAATTTATGCTTCATTTTGTCAGGATAAATTGGTTGATGATTATTAAAGCTTGCATTACTGTGATAACGCTGTATAAAGGGGAAGCTCTCTGCCCACCCACCAGACTGGCATGACCTTCTTAGAACTGCATTAGTTACAAGTAAGCAGCAGAAATGATATTTCAGTAAAAACAGGCAAGAGCATCAGTTGTGTAGAAATGTATTTCCTTCTTTCAACTATGTGCGATCAAGGAAAGATTAGAACAAGACCCACTAACAAGCTCTTCTGTTTCCTTCCTAGAATTACAACAACAGCTGCTTGTATGATGGACCTACGGAGATATCCGCTGGATGAGCAGAACTGCACGCTGGAGATTGAAAGCTGTAAGTACTTCTGCAAATCCTACTTATTCTCTGGTCAACTGCTTCAGAGGTTTTTGTTTATTTGTTTTGTTGGGTTTTTTTAACATGCTACTAACCTAGTTGTCTTTCTGTCTGATGACATTTAGATCCTTGTAAACACATGCAAAAAAAATAGCTTTCCAGATGGATTAGTAATTTGTAGCACAAGGATTAGCAAAAGTTATTCTGTGTTTTGATGGATAATTTACAGCTTTAAAGGTCTCATTCAAATGCCTTGTTGGAGGTCACGTGAGGAGCACGAGGATTATTATTGGTTCTTTATCCTCCTTTACTGCTGAACTGTGTGGTGGCTTGTTTCCATTTATAAATGATGGCAAGAGGTTAGGATTGTCCTTGAAATAGGTGTTTTGTTGGGTTTTCTTCTAACCCCTGTGCTGCAGTTAAACTTTCAATGCATGCAATGCACTGTTATATATATTGGTGTAATAGCTGGTGTCTCTGTGAAACTTCTTATGTAGATAGAACATGTGAAATAAAATTTCAAATCTCTCTTCACTGAAAAAATCTCTAGGGAATCTAAGTACATCAGAGAAAAAACAATTCATGATCACTTCTATAAAGACAGTATTATAAGCATACATTATTAAGATTGTATCAGCACTCTCAGGATGCATTTCCTGTTTCAGGAGAACCATGGGTAATTCAGGTAGGGCGTATTATTGAGCTGAATGTGACAAGCAACATGGACATTAATGGCATGTTTTAAGAGATGGTTCACAAAAGTATGGGTATTTTTGAAGTAATTTCTGTATTATAAAAAATTATGTGGGATTTCTGTGTGCACTGAAGTAGAAAATAATGGTAGCTTGTGCTACAGTCTGGTGAGAATTTGGTACAGCGGGGCTGCTTTCTCCTATTCCGGAAGGCATTTAAGAATATGCTTTAAATTTGTGTCCAGGTTTCATTCATTTCAGTGTAATTTGAAGATATGCCAAAGTCCTTTCCTGAATTAAACTTGTGACACCACTGTCTGAAATAATTTACATGCATGAAATTAACAAAATGAGTCTTTATCATTAGAGCTCACCCCTTTTCTGTGTTGAAATACACAAGCAGACAATGTTATGATGGACTTAGTTCCTTGTAGAATTTCTGTTGATCGCATTTGGTTCAAAATTTCATATCTGCAGCTGTTTACCAGTACAGTAGGCTGATTTTACTGTGTGAGAAAACTGCTGACATAACTGTATTCAGGTTCACAGAGATTTTTTTACTGAGCATGTGGCTTGCTATGCCAGTGTGTTCTGATTATTGTTGCAGCAAGGACCTGGAATGTTTGTTTTTTTCCAATGTAGTGTATAACGTGGAAACTTGGGGAGTCAGAGGACATCCTCTATTTACAGCATTATTTAAACAGTCAACATAGCTTGCCATCTCTCTGCATTGCTGAGATGACTGAATCTTCTTGGGATTCACAAACTAGATATTCCCTGCCTGTCCTGCTTGCAGGACCCACTCTGGGGAATATGCCCAGGAAATATATCCCAGGTCAGTCCTTATGCAAAGCTGAAAATTAAATTACGTCCTCGCTTTTCAATGAGAGCACTTGTTCAGACTCAGAATGTTGGACTTGTGGGATGAAATTTCCCTTTCATCTGATTTGGAGTGGAAGTTTGAAGCCAGACCAGTTATCGTTCAAGAAACAATCTCAGAAAACAGGTTATTGAGCTCTCAAAATTGTTGTTCTGCTTGGTATGAAGAGCATGGTACTTGTCATATTATAGAAAAGGTAGGAGTTTAATTTACCATAGTTGTAAGGATGCTTGTAGGAGAGCTCCTTTGTGGATCTGTTAGCTCTGTTGCAGCATCACAAAAGTAAAATGGATTTAAATCAGGATCCTGTATGTAGCTAGCATGTCTTTCATTGCAGTAACAAAGGCCATTAAAGAATGTGGATAGAACTGACACTTGAACTGTGTTTTGAAACACTTTCATGCTGCTTTAGAAAATTATTGCTCTTTATATATGTCATTCTGTTCAGGTAAAAACCTGAGTCTGTCTAATCTTTATGAATTCCTTCAGACAAAAATGCTGGTAGGTAGATAGGTGGATTGAATAAGCTTGAAAGTGACTTTCTGAGTTGATGAATGCAGGTACTCAAGTCATAATCACTTCTTTAAACTGGTTAAACTGCATGCTAGAAGTAGCTTGGCTTCTTGCCCTTCTGATCCTCTTGGGTGTCTGTTTTACCACTGCTCTCTTGTGATGGTTAAAAATTCTCTAAATTCTCCAAGTGTTTTCATGGCTGTGAAGGCATGAAATTATACTCACTGCTTGTGTCAATAATTTTTCTTTAGTTCAATCTCTTCCCCAGCCCTGCTGGGACCTTTATAATATATTTTAAAAAAAACAGTCATAGTTTCTCTTAGGCTTCATTTCATGAAACTGAATATGCCAGTCTCTTTTAGCCTTCTCATACAAGAGCATGTGAAGAGAAATGCAGAACTAGCTAGTTCTTCGTTAGGAATAACTAGTACCATTAACAGTATCCTAGATGAAATCTCTGTTGCTCTATCCTTAATTAAGGGCATTAATCCTGCCCTTTCTCCAAGAACTACCTTTGCCTTTCTTCACAACTGCATAACTTCCACAGGTGACAGTCTTTCCTGGAACAGTACAGTACGGTCTTTCCCTTCCTCACTCATTCTCCAGTAGTGGGTTGTAGCTTTTAGTAGAATTTTTTTTGCATAGTACTAAGAGCAGATGACTTGGCATTTCATAATTCTATTCACATAAATCAATGTTCTTAATATTGCTGTAGTCCTCAAGGTTATCCAGTTCTTGCTGTATTTGTTCTGATCATCCATTGTCTTAACAGTGCCTACACTTTTATTTCATTAGAAATTTCATTAACACACAAATGCTAAAGAATATTAATGCCAAGATGGAAGGACTTTGCTTATAATCATTCTCTGTGCTGAGCATGATCTATTCTTTCAGTACAGTACAATTTCCTGCATGTCTTTTATATATCTTTATTGATTGTCTGTTCTTAGATAGTCCTACATCAAATGTTTTCATAAAGTCTAGGTTAACTATACTGTGTTTAAAAAAGGAGTTATTGTCTAACCAGATCCTTTGAGTTAAGTCATGATAGATTTTAATACCATTTCCATACATGTTAATGTCTCTAATATCCTTCCATTTTTTTCTCTGCTTCCTCCATCCTTGCCCCCCTCTCCCCCTCACCCTGTTATTGATGACAGGGTTGATTGGTTTCTTAGCTGCCTGGGTTACTTTTTTCCATGTGTCATTGTGTTTACTGAAATTTGTGGCCAAAATCAAATTTTTGTTAATCTAGATTTGTGTAAATCTAGATTAATTTGCAAATTAAAAATTATGGTGGAAAAGGGTTGTATGTGAAATATAAAAAATGAAATGGGGGAGATGGTATCATCTATTAAGATACAAGAGGCAGCATTTTTCCTATTTCAGTTTCAGGTAGTATTAGTGAGATTAGGTGCTGAAAGTGTGCAAGGGGACTGTTCCTTGTTAGTTCAAAGAGTATCAGTTTTGAGAACTGAAATCCCATTTTTTTTAAGTATAGCTAGTTCCACTCTGTGATCATTTTTTGCTTTGTTCATCCTTAAAAAATTGATTTGAAGGGCAAAAATGTATTGAATGTTTGGTTTTGCTGTGACTCTTGTAAACCCGTAGGCCATCTTTTTTTCAAGGAGGTCTAATCTGAGCTATCCTACTTCCCTCTTTCTTTTGTTATTTCCCAACATGCTGAATAGCAGGGTTATAATACCAGGGGGAAATCAGTTTTCCTGTGTATTAATTTCTTAGTTTCCCAGCTTGCAGGCAACAGAGAGCTTTTTCCGTTTTAGTTGAATGTTGACTCCACTCAGTAAATTACCTCTCCTTGCTGCTCCCTACCTCTGCCACTGCAGTACGCGTTGCTGAGTTTCTGATGATGCTCTAGAATAATTTTGTTTCTCTGCTGTTTCCTGCCTCTCTGGAGTTGTAACTGTTGAAAGGACTGTCTTAGCTAATCAACCGTAAAACTAGTAGGAGCTCAAAGGCAAGAAAAGAAGTACAAGGGAGTTTGAAGAATACTTCATATTCATATAAACAAATAAAATATCACATTGCACATTCTCTAGCATAACAGAGAGAAATAACTGTGATTCTTTTGAATATTTTTAAATGTAATCATTCAAGATTCATCTGGTACATTTGGACCTTTGTCCATTTCAATTATGTGGTCCCACATAAAGACAAAAATTCAGTTCCTTCTCATCTCATTTCATAATGCATTTGGCATAGCTATATTTATGTTATACCTTGTGACAGTAGGTTTATTTTTTTTTCTTTCCATTTCTTTGTTGCTGTGGAACAAAAAAAAAGAATGCATGGAGTTTCTCCTCAGAAAAATTTCTCAGAATCACTTTCCGTAGCGTATTAGAGATATGGCATTTAAAAAGTGCATTAAAGCCCTGCTGTCTGAAGCCTTGGCAAACAGGGAGCTTGCCACTCAGACATACTGACCAGGGAAAAAGGGCAGAGTCAGAACAGCACGCACAGATGGGGAGGAAGGATTGCTTTGCTGACAAATGAGAAACAATTGTTTTCAGGATATTTCATTTATATAACAGCCTGGGGTGTTTGGATCAGATATAATTGGATTTTTTTTTTCTGTTTCACGACAAAAAGGCCACAGAAGCACACAAAGATGAGTTTAAAACTTCCATTCGATAACAGAATCTAGAAAAAGGCAGAAAGAACAGAGGCGAAAGAATATAATTCCTCCCAGTGGCAGCACAGCCCAGTATCAAACGCTTTCTAATCAGATCATCTGAAAGCTCATCAACAAGAGAAGTCATCTTTGTGTGCTCAAGGTGACTTTACAAGCACATAGAAGGCACTGAAAAGAAATCAAAGATGCCTTTTGCTGAAGCCTTGAGTACTTTGCAGATGGCTGCTCTGGCCATCGATCAAAGCTATAATCAGGTCCCAGG